ATCGTGTTAAGTGAGAATGTATCAGCGAGGTTCTACTGTATAGGTCTACACAACTCCACGATCTTACATATTCAACGCAAAATCATGGTCGTCAATTCTCTCTAGATTCAAATTTTGAATTAAGAGACAGTGTGCGTCCAGACTGAGTTCAATTGGCAGCGGACGCACTAGGCGAATTTATTGACGTCAGTGCAACCATGACAGTAATACATACGGCGGTACTATACGACTCCGCAAACACATACCTAATCAACAAAAAGCTCCTAGTGGGTATGCACCAGAGAAATGGGGAAAAATTACCACTTACTACTGGTGCATAAATAATTACACAGAAAAAAGGTGAATGAAAAAATTAGTTAGCAAGGAAATAAATGTATGCCTAAATACATAACCTGCATGTTACACTTCCAGGCCACATAACTGAGGTGGAACTGCTTTAAAAGCATATGCTGAAATTTAAAAAATCTTAATAAATGTGTAAATATAAAAAGTAAGCTAACAAAATCTTTGTGCGACACAGCTTGGCTGGTCACCCACCTTGACAGAGTGGAATACCTCCAGCTTTTTCCAGAAATCTTCGCAACACCTCCTCCGCAAAAAACATGCACATATAGCCGGATTTATTCATTATAGTCCGCTTGGAAGATTATGCTGATTTCATTTACCTAAAGAGCCTCAACAACTGCCAACGATAGGTAATCAGCGTACAAGATTGACGACAAGTTTCTTCGGCTACATTGTACCAATTGCAAAATATCTACTACCTACAAGAATGATGAATTATCATCGTATTCATGCAATTCATTGATAAAATATTTTAGTTGATTGAGAGACGGCATCCTTCTTTGGAGACAAGGCGTACTGTTTTTCAGTTTCTGTGCACTATTGGGAAGGAACAGACATCCAACACTGAGCTAACGATAATAAGCATTTTTGTTTTTTAAAGTTTTTTTGACCTGACATGTGCTTGAAATATTTTGCTACACACTTGATGATGACAGATGCATGTTTAACAAGACAGACATGGGCATGTCGGTGGGATATGGAAAATAATGTTTAACTTTTCTTCAAAGGCATGATGAAAGCAGGTAACCATCGCATAATAAATCAGTTGCCATGGTGTTCACGTAATGTAGCATGACTGCCTGCAATCTTGACAAAATTATTGATACTATATTAGCAGCTACTGTAGAACATCTGACAATTTATTGCAATACTTACACTTGCTTTAAACTTGGTCTACAATGACTTATTTCACGCATTCATAGAAAATCGATCATGATACGTACCTTAAATAATGAGGGGGGGGGGTGGAGGCTACCTGCACAAAAACGTCTTGTATGCAAGCTCCTCTTTAGGGCACGTGCACGCAATTAAACGAATCGGAAACTGAGCTGTACGCTCCTAAATATTTCACGCTTTTTTTAATGAACACAACTTCACAACATCGGACATAATCACTCAAATCTGACATGGTCCACAGAACTTCACTACAGCGCTACACACAACAGCACTCGTACGGCGTTGCGCATTACGAACGACAACAATGATGGGCAATAAATCTTGCCCATTCTTATCATTGCAGGAGCTGACGCTCGCAAGCGTTCAAAATTTGTGGATACTATTTGCTGCGACGAACAGCACACAGAGAACACACCCGACGCTAACACTTGTTGCGATGATTACAAACTTTTCACTTCGGCGCTGCACTAAGCGCATATCCTGCTTTAGAAAAGGTGGAGGATTACATCACGGAAATCTTCGAAGTTCTTTGCGATTACACTTGAAAGACGGACGGTACAACCCAAGAAACATACGAAACGACGACAATCGCATCCGCAAACACACTTTCTACACTGCGCTCGTTTCTTCATTTCCGCTGTCGATCGCACGTACTAACGGGGCAGTGAACACTGGCTGGCTACCAATATCTCCCCGAAGTCTCACGGCGCTTACGATGGTCACAACGATAAAATCAGCTGTTATTTTTCTATGACGCTGAAGCTGACTCTTGAAAAGGGAAAAGAAGAGAAAAGTGAGCCCCGTTATTGTCTGCTTCAGTGAGCGACACCGCCACAGTAGCTCACGAGGGATGGGGGTGAGGAGGGATAAAAAGGATAGGAGTAAAAATGTAGGAAAGCCGAAGAAGGAGAAGAGAAGAAGAGACGTGAGGTGGTGAGCCAGAGCGAGCGACGACAAGATGAGGAGATAGAAGAGATAGGAAAGATGAAGCACGGTCACTGGAGTCCGAGGACGGGGCGCACCTGCGAGAGCTCCTTTCGGCGTCGGTGGATGGCGTAGAGCAAGTCCAGTAAATCAGAGCTGCACTGTCGTCGGAGGTGGAAGGTCGTCGACGGCAGGAGGTGACGTAGGGCGAGCCCAGTCGGCCAGAGCCACGATGACGCCGGAGGTCGCAAGCGCGCGGAGCGCGCGACCGGTCAGCCCGAAATCCAGCAAGCGAGACCATCGCCCGCTTCAGCAAGCGCTATGTTGCCAAGCGAGCCGACGGGGCGGCCATACAGGCCGTTTTTAGCAGTAGCCAATAAGGGGCGAGCCATGCGAGCCGGCTTGCGGCTTGCAGAAGTTGAGAGCCGCTCTGCTTGACGTCACAGAGACGGCCGCTCTCACCCATTTGTGCGGTGCGGGTGTGCGGAGCGGGTGTGCGGCTAGCGCATGGAACGGTCCTAAGGGCCGTTCCATGTACAAGTCGCCCGGCCGCAACGCACGTGCCGGCACACCCGCCGCACTCAAGCGGGGCCCAAATGAGCGAATCGGTGACGCTCTTTCACTCTCCGATTGGGTGCGGCAAGTGCACCGGCGGCGCGTGCGTTGCTTCTGGAAGGCTAGCGCATGATACAGCCTTAACGCTCTTTCTCCGTCCGTACCGCGCGCCCACCGCAGATATTCGAGTGGTACCAAGTAGCTGATGCCCTCCCAGAGGTGAGCGGTGACATCTCTCTCCTTCGCGTGCCGCGCGCTCACCGCGTGTCATCTCTCTCTTGCTTTAATCCTCTCCACCACTCGGAAAGCTCGCGCCCATTTTTCACGTGGGCAATCGCTTCACCCGTGCCACCTCTCTCTATCTCCATACAGAAGCTTTAACGCGCACACACGAGGACAGGGACAATAGAGACACAGGGACCAGTGCAGACTAACGATTGACCTTTAATCAATAAGGAAACAAATTATGCATATTTCCGCACCTCATGATCACTGCGCACGAGTGAAAATGGCATCGTGTAAAAAATATATCAACCAATAAAAACTTCATATGCCGTGTAATGTCACATGTTATTCATCAATTCATTTCTTTTTCATTCAGCGATACTCAAGCATGACTCACACACGTGGCTTTGGGTCCAAAGATATGCCACGCTTCTACAATTTTTCTTGTTGTCTTGTTGTGGTTAGCATACACAACTTCAGTTTGTATGTTACCTTAGTGAATAAAAATTGGTAGATTTCACGTACAGTGGGAATCGATGATATGCGAAGCACGAATAAAAAAGGTTGACATGTCATTTTATTATCAGCACAACGTTACGAGGCGGAGGTAAACGATGCCGTACATGACTTTCCTGTCATGATTATCATGTTTGCATGTGTCGTTTACCTTTACCTTCAGTTTCACGATACGTGATACCAAATTCAGTACATGTGAAGTAAGCGAAACGGCCACGAGCATGTTATAAGCGTGGTATGTTGTCATCTTCTCACATGACACGCGTGTCAGTATTACCATGTTTGCGCCAGTCACATACCTTCGTCGTTCTTTGACGTCATGTAACACTAAATTGGGTATATGGGGAGCTAGTGCAATGGCCGTGAGCGTGTAGTGAAGGGCTCAATGTACTCCAGCGTAACGTTGATGGGCGCCCCTGCTAGGCACAGCGACGGACGCCAAGCACGACCGGAACGCCCAGCTGTCCGTCGGCGCAGCCCGACGGCAACTGGTGCGTAATGCAACATGCCGCATTTTGAGCCGTTGTGTTAACCAGACAGCACTGCGTCTGCATCTTTTCGTGACGCAGGGATGCTGGACGCGCTAAAACGCACATGCGTCAAAGCAACATAGCACTGCGCGCGCCTCCGACTAAATGGTAGAACCGGTGCCTTGAGTGGCAACGCCCGCGTGACGCGACAAAACGAACGCCGGCGCACATGTGCGCCGGGCCAACGTCGAGGTGTACTGCCGCTTTGACTGTGGCATGCAGTCATGTTCTCACATGACACGCATCTCTTGATTATTATGTTTGCACCAGTCACATACCTTCGTCAATATTGAAGTCAAGTAATACCGAATTTGGCATATGTGACGCTAGCGAATGCGGCCGCGAGCGCATCATGAGTGTGGCGTGTAGTCATGTTGTTGTATAAAACTCATCTCATGTTTATCATGTTTCCACCAGTCTCGTACCTTCGTCATCCATTCACGTTCCATAATACCAAATTTCGTATAAGTGAAGATAGCGAAACGGCCGCCAGCACATCATGAGCGTGGAACGTAGTAAAGTTCTTACATGACACTGCATGTCTTTTTTATGTTAGGGTCGGTCGCTTGTGTTTGCCACGCAATCATGTCATACCATACTAGTTTTGCAACATTTCATGTAAACGAAACCATCGCGACAGCAGCAAGACCATAAGATATCAATCATGACATTCGTGACATACATATCATGATTTTCATGACATAACTAGTCAAATATGCTCGCCATGTAGTGATGTTATGCCATACCAAGTTTGGTATCGATACCATTATCGAAACGGCCAGGAGAGCTAAAAGTAGTAGGTGGCTAGATAGATAGATAGATAGATAGATAGATAGATAGATAGATAGATAGATAGATAGATAGATAGATAGATAGATAGATAGATAGATAGATAGATAGATACGCTGAAAGTCACTGAAGTTTGCGTAGAAATGCTCTGCATTTGATACTGCTGCACTGAGGACTACTGTAATACTGAGTAAGCCCGATGCTCTTAATCTGTTGCAGTGAGACCACCTGTACGGTTTCCAAACACTTCTACAGTTACGTGTTCCAAGTCAAACAAACGAGCATTGTAAGTCACACTTCTCGCTTCACTCTATTATTGCGCTCTGTACAGCAGTGGTGATAATGCGATCTCATATTTCTCTTTCTGCAGGCTCAAACCATCCTCTGCACCATAGGTGAGATATATAACACTTCATTGAACTTTCCGTGCTTAATGTATAATTGAAAAAAAGGGGCTTTTTCCTTACTACACTTCCTATAGCGAAATGGAGGTGCAGCGGCATTCGGGTATCGGTGGCGTTGAGCACTTTCTAGAGCAGTTCTTTTTGGCAGACGAAGCCGTTATATTGTTCGTGGTGCATTTCGCAGAGAAACGGACGGGAAAGCAAAAAAAGTTAAGCGTAAACAGGCGCTGACCGTCATCTCAGGCTTTATTTCAAGAAGCGAGCCATATATAAAGAACAAGAACAGAGGAAAGGGTCAAGGAAAAAAGGCTAAGCGGACGCAACTGCACAAAAACATGTTTATCCTTCTTTTGTGTTCCCGTCCATTTATTAGACATTACACCATAGGCTAGTGCCTCCTTAACTTGCCACTATACATATATTCTGCACTTACGCAGATTGTGTTCCAAGTGCGCCACCACGTAAAGTTTACCAAGTGTGTCTTGGAAGTGCTGCATTTGTGAACATGCAAGAGCGCTGCACTTCCTGGAGAGGATTTAATGGAGAGTACAAAAACCGGATCCACGCCCTGCGTTGCACTTGGCGTCACGTACTATTCCCCATTTCAGTTTTCCTGCGCCACCGAGTGTTTTTCGGGGAGCTTTCTGTTAGTAACGGGGCAGCCGGTGTCGCGGAAATTAAATCATCCACGATAAAAAAGCTTGTCGCGATATTCACGCTTCAAAGAATTGAGTGATATGTAAGGTTTAACAGCCCAAAACCACCATATGATTATGAGAGACGCCGCAGTGGAGGGCTCCAGAAATTTCACCCACCTGGGGTTTTTAACGTGCTCCAGAATCTGAGCACACGGGCCTACAAAATTCTCGCCTCCATCGGAAATGCAGCCACCGCAGCGGGATTCAATCCCGCGAATTGCAGCTCAGCAGCCGAGTACCTTAGCCACTAGACCACCGGGGCGGGGCCCGCTTTGGAGAAGGCGATAGCGTCGAGGTATCAGGAGAAAACGCGGATTAGTGGCGATCTTTTGTTCGTCCTGTAAGGATATATCGCCACCATAGAATTGCCACCAATATTTACTGGAATAAACTCTTGCGCTGCAATCATTCAGCCAGCCAGGGAACGACGGGTAAACTGATTTGCCGAATATTCGTGCTTGTGGCTTAGGGAGCACTTCGCACGTTGTTTATTCTTGTGTTGTGGCACTTTCCTCTGGATAAAAGAAAGCATCTGTTATGTTTTGCCGCTCATAAGTTGATCGTGCGGATAAAACAGCACCAGAATCTACGTTATTCAAAGCTCCTTTCTCAGATCTCTCTCGGCAAGGTCGCAAATTGCTTCATTTGAGCATAGGGACGACAGCGCGGGAAGCTACGTTATACAAAGCTTCTTTCTCGGACTCTCTCTCGGTATGCCCATGTAACTATACACCACTTATCCTCTGGAATGCAAACTACCTCCGTCCCCTCCGCTGCCGGGGACAAACGCACAGTGTGAAACGAACCCGCTCTGCCAACCGGCTTGGAATGTTTGTGGTTTAGAGACAAGTCGCCCCTGCCTGGGGCAAACGCACAATGGGATTAAGCGACCCCGTCCTGCCTCCACTGCCGGGCGCTGAGCTCAGTGGGAGTAGGCGACACGCTCTGTTCTGGTGATCGGCTCTAATTCGCAGCGATGCACGACCCGAGCACAAGGTAAGCGGAGAAAGTCAAAGGCCTCTTGCTACCTGCGGGGGCAATCACGTTCCGCGCGCAATCATTCAATTTCCGGCTTTAGAGGTTCGTCTCGGCTCGCTGGGTGTGGGAAAGGGCATGAATGTACCGGGTCTACAATGCCGATATCTCCCGAGCGTTAGAATTGCCTGAGCGCGTGGGAGGTGGAGAGAGAGAGACATGATGGGAAAGAGTACCAAAACGCCTGTTTAAACTGTAGAAGCGCTGCTGTCGCGAGTAATGTCAGCCTAGTAGGGAGTGACTTAATCTGAGTGGAAACAAATTGGATGAGAGAATGTTGAGGCGGACCAGCAGTGGCCCCCTCCCCTTTTTCTTTGTTACCGCAAGATGCTTAAGACTGGGGGGAATCCGTTTCTCTTCAGTCGAGGCTGCAATCACTTAACTGATAGATCAGTACGACTCCGTGCGATGCAACTTTTGTCTGGGCCGTAACCACTTGGTGGTCGAACAGTGAGACTAAGTACGTTGTATGTAGTAACAGTGTTCTAGGCTCTAGCTTAAGAAAAGTTAAGTAGAAGAGTAAGACGCTGTTGATGTCTGTGTTATCATGAGTGTGCTTCGGCAAGATGTACATATGACTGTAAATATTTCGCTGTAATATACCTTCAAGTTTTCATTACCTCCAAACCTGCCTCCTGCTTCATCGACGCCGATCATCTCCTTGACGGGACTTCAATCCACATCAAGGAGAGCAATGAACAAGAAGGGAAACTTAACTGCATCGTTGCGAAAATTGTGAGCCTATTTGTATTTGTGAGCCTGAAAATTCAAGGTGGTGAAGTGTGAATGATGAACATTTGTTGAACCTCTTGTGACCTCGAAGCAGGATGCAGGTTGCTTGGAACCAAACGAAGCCTTGAGTAAGAAGCTTAGACGAAGCCGTGTACTACCTGTCATTCCCATGCTGCCTGAAGTGCTGTTCGGTGCTGCTCCTATAGACACTTGGTTCCCTCTTGTGCATTGATAAAATGCTTTGGTATCGCAGCCTGGAGCTCCCACGCTCGCGCTCGCTCTCTGAAGCACTGCGCGCGGATAGTTTGCTCGTTTATTCTCTAGGGTCGCGTAAAACAAATAAAATATCTCGTAACAGCTGTGCTCTAAAGCACTCAGTAACCCCGAGAAGTATCAAGGTATTGAAGAATCATCGCGGACACACAGTTTCCTTCACATCCTTCTGTGCTATTTTTACGCGCTCGCCTCTTAGTGATCTCAGACTGACATAAGAGTAAACATTTACTACAGGTTTTATCACTTTTAGGAACATTAGAACGAGAATACATTTTACGAAAATAAAAGTGTTAATTGATCGATTGATTGATGAATTGTCTGACTTATTTATTGATATGTGGGGTGTAAAGTCCCACAAGCACCATGTGATTATAAGAGATGCCATGGGGGAGGGCTTCGGAAACTTCTACTACCTGGGGTCCTTTCACGCACACCCAAATCTGGGTTCACAGGCCTACAGCCTTTTCGCCTCCATCAAAAATGCAGCCGCCCAAGCCGAGGTCCGAAAATATAAAGTAAAAAACTGTTCATGAGGCATATTAGCATTGAGCGTCAACTGCAAAGTTCTTGCGCGATCACTCATATTAAGTGGATAAACAACGCTGTGTTTGCATTCTTTTTTTTTCAGCTGAAGGATTTACGAGAACAAGCTGGTCTGTTTGAAGTACGAAAAAGAAATGCTTCAACTAGATGATCAAGGACGCAAAACACGAATAACAGCTATGACCATAAGGAAAAAATCTCCTTCAAATTTGTGTTTTTCATGGGTGGCTTCGACAGAAAAAATTTTGTCTGTCTGTACATTTGTTTTTTTTTTTGTCCGCCCTATCTATACTCCAAACGGCACTAACCGGCCGACCCCATCCGCAGCGCCCATCAATATTGCTCAAGGTTTAGCGTTCATTGTCGTGCGATTGGCAATTAAAAAAGCAAATATTGCACATATCTATAACAACACGTTAGTGCTCTGTATGTCTAACTTTATACAGAAGAAGCACACACAAGTAACTCTAAAGACTAGCGTTTATCGCGCTGCGCTCACAGTGCAACGCGATGCTCAAGAAAGTGTCTCCGACGCTTTGGTACGACGACACCGTGGTGGCACCTGCCCGTCGCTTTGAATTGTACACCTCATCACCTCCAAAACTGGCGCGCATCTTTCTCGGTGGTCACGCACGCCTTTGTTTTCGAAGATAAATGGCAGATGGCGCTCGTAACTAACATGCGTAGATCCGCTTGCTGACCTCCGCTACGCGCTCGAGGCACTCTAACGCAGCACCTTCAGAATACCATTTACCGATTTTCTTGCGCAGAACATCAAATAAACGTTTTGTTCACTCTCTCCAGACGCAAGACTATCGTCTTTCAACGGCATTTACAGTGTAACATGTAGATTCAGGCCAATTTTTACGATATCATATTCTAGTATCAAGTATAATTTTATTCTAACAGTGAATGCGCTAGTTACAGTTTAATCATTCACAAAAAAAAAAGGGGGGAGGGGCAAGTCACACGCGTATCGGAGGTCAGCGCTAGGTCAAAATAGAGAAGACAACGTTCGAAAATTACGAAGTAATACCAGTGATGCCTTTCAGATCATAGCAGAAAGATTCTGCTCACTTTATTCTAAACCCATTCACACCTTAGGTAATTACAAGACACTCGTTTATTGTGGGTATCTGGCCCCACAGGTGTAATCTCTATCTTTATTCGGTGAGCTCGCAGTGTCATCCGACAATAGCTAGTGATGTGTATAGAACCTATTTCATGTTTGCAAATAGGGGTAGGCGCCGTCGACATACTGAGGTGCTTGTAACGATGTCATGGTGCGTAGGGTACGCCCAGCCCAAAGCTCCCTACCACTCTCTTTGATCACGTGACAACAAGTACAGCAGCTTCTAAGCTGCCTTCGAGCACAGTGCGTTCGAGAAACCGCCCGCGTTCATGTGGGTGTTCAACTAAATGAAAGCTGCCATCATGCTGCATTTGCGGGAGTTCCTGTTATAGCGTTGGCATTGGCGTGTTTTATGTGTGTGTGTTTCTTTATGATTTTGTGCGCTGCTTCATCAAAGGACCATGGCTTACCAGCTAGCCCGTATGTACATGTGCTCAACCACCTTTACCTTGAGCTTCTCAACTATTTTTGAAGAGAACAATCTGTCACAATGAAATGATGTGACATTATACGCTGTCCCTGTATTGCACCACGTTTTTCGAGTAAGACGGTAAGTCGGGCCAGTTGGTTAGGATCCATCGTGAACTTTCTTACAGCGCAACACCAGAAAAAATACAGGACAGGGAAGGAGTAGAACAGAAAGAAAAGACGGCGTTTTTCTGGTGTTTCGCTGTAAGAAAGTTCACGATGGACGTTCTTCGAGCCTGCGCCCAAGGTTGCCTGCGCCTGTGTCATTGGTGGCTTGTCCCAGCGAGCGGATACCCCCCCCCCCCCCCCCAATGCACTGCGCCAGGCGCACTTACAAGGCTCTCGGAAGCTGCGCGCTCATTGGTTCGTGCGTGATATTGTCAGCAAACATGGCTGTGCCCAGGACAATGCTGCAGGGGTTCATGTGTCGGGCGGGAGCACAGCTGTTGAAGACGCCGCGACGAAAGCGAGAACAAAGTTGACGCTCGCACGCGTACTGGCAAACCGGCTACGATTTACAACGATCGCCGAAAGCATCGAAGTCGGTGCAGATATGTAATGAAAATGGATAATGACGGTTTGAAGAGTTCATGTGCGGACTATATAACAATAATAGTAATTCGATAAGCATTTGTTGAAACTCGAAGAGCCGGTTTCGAAGCACTTGAGTGCCTACGTCGCGCACGTCACTCGATCGCTCTGGTTGCACTCACTCTGGCATATCTTAGGCTACTCGTATTTAATGCAACCGCTACTGATCCTGATAGCGATGCGAAACGAGAAGCACGAATATCTGCAGCAGCTTCTTGACAGACCTGAAAACGTAATGTCTACGTAGTGTCACTCTATCAACACGCCAAGCAATTCCGTTCACATGAGGAGCGAGAGGCCAGCGCTTTCATTAGAAGAGAAGGACGCGAGTGACAGCGTATTCCCTCTAGGTCAAATACACTTCAAAATCTACTGTATGTCGTGCATGTAAAAAACCCGCCCCAAGCCAGCGTTTTTTTTTTTTGCTCCCTTCACCGCGATGGATGTCTGTAAGATGGTGTCTGTAGACCGGTGAAGAGTTGACAGCGTGAACACTGTCGTACTACAGACGCGCGCAAGCAAGTGGTTTGCGAGTAGTAAATTTCAAAAGCGACTTCAATATGAATCCAATTACTGTGTAACCATATAAAACACCTAAATGAACCTAATACTCTTGTGATAGTTATAAAATAGAAAGGAAACATTTTTAAAAATAATCCTAGAACTCCATAACAGTGTATTTGAAATAAATATTCACGAGCTGTCACCAAATAATACTACAATTATGAAAAGTGTGATAAGCTTGTATACAGCAGCGACCAGAGCCTTCGAAATATTTTTTAACTGTATGTCAAAATACCGCAGCAACTCCATTATTCAAGTAGAAACTCTGTTACCAGCTTTTAAGTAAAATTTCAGCATAACATCTAAACAATTTTGAACCAAACACCATGCATTCAGCTAAAGATTTATCGGAACAGGCAAAATTATCACAACATATACCCTGGCACAGAGAGCATGTAGAATTCAAGTGTTTCAAGCTGTATCTGTAAGAACAATTTACGTGAACAAAAGACTTACTGCCATGCGTTTTTATTCGTGAAGCTAAATGCAGTCATAACCCCTAAATTCAATGATAAAAACAGGAAATAATTAATGCGATGCAGTTTCACCAGAGTAAAAACAGGGTGAAAGTGCAGTTTGCAGCTAAAATGCTTTACCTGGTAATGGTTATAGAATCAATAGTGCTGCCAATACTTGGACCCCGCACCTCCACCAAATCGTTAAGGCGTTTATTACCCGGCAACGAGCGAGAATATACTATGGCGACAGTCACAGCCAAGCACGGGCTCTCAGCGCGAGCGGCGTCCTTATTGGGTAGCCCCACTAGGAGGTACTCAAGAGTTCGACCCATTTCAGAGTTCGGAGACTTCGCTACAATTGTGATATTTCATGGATTACAAAAAAATAGACCTTCACCTGATCCCAAGTTTTGCTGCTTGAGGGTTGTACCTTAGGAGCCAATGATTTTTTAAATATTTGGTATTTCGTGTATGTACAATTAAATTTCACTAGCGAATGCTGTTTTTTTCCGTTATTTAAATATTTGCACACCCCTAGTAGTGTTATCACTAACAATGACCCACCATCTTTTTGTGTGAATGTGATTAGGCATCTGTGAACATCACGAGTGCTTTTTGTTTTTTGTGCTGTATCCCATCTCTCATGGAACACACCCTTGCACATGCCTTAAGGTACGTAAATGAAAAAAAAAACGCACCTGGCTACAAGTGATGCCAATTCGTGACATGCAAGTAAAAACATAAGTGTATTTTGGTGAAAGCTGCCCTTAATCTTGCCGTTCATTAGCAAGAAGGATCAGTTTATTGCACATCGTTTTTACTCTTAGCCTACATCAGTTAACAAAGCATAAGCCTGTTCATAAGAACTTACTTCTTTCTTATTGCATTATTTGTGCAATAATGGTAAGACCAAAAGGTCAGACAGCACAAATACCTCTGCTGAGATATGAATAAAGTTAACTAAGCAAACTAAAAAAACGTACATTTTAATATTCAGCACATGCCAGACAGAAAATACAGTGAGTGCCAATGCATTGGCAAAACTCTTGCCTAAATCACGAGTGGCAACCTGGATAAATTATTATTGGTAATATCAATAAAATGTATTTTCTGGGAAGCTTTGGAAGCATTCATTTTTTGGCTAAAGTTGAGTCAAATGCTTATATACTCTGGGCACTTTGTTGCAAAAGAATAATAAAAACAAATGTAAAACCTCACATCAACAATTCAATGTTGTCCTGAAATAAAAAAAGAAAAAGCCATATGTTATTTGTTTTTGCCAGAGAATTCTGTATAAGAGAAGATTAATTAAGGCTGTCATAGGATGTGTTGAAAATTAAAAAAATTACTTGCCACTGCGAATTGCTTGCGGAATGTGAAGTTCACATATATTGTTATAAAATGAGGCGTTTTAGAGTGGCACTCTTCTATAAAACAGGAGAGCGGTCACGACGCGTCAAGTGGTAATGGCGGAACCAGTCTGAGTACTCAGCCAACCAAACGTCGTTGATTGATTGATATGTGGGGTTCGACATCCCCAAAACCATCATATGATTATGAGAGACGCCGTAGTGGAGGGCTCCGGAAATTTCTACCAGCTGGGGTTCTTTAACGTGCACCCAAATCTGAGTACACGGGCCTACAACATTTCCGCCTCCAACCAAACGTCGTCTTCTTCAACGACTGAGTCATACCCCCTGCCTTTTTGAGTAGCACTCAGCTTCTTCACTACATCTTCCTTCCCTCTGGAAAAGAGTCATCCTGGCGACTCATGGGCAGGAGACAATAGAGGGATCATATTACGGTTTTAGGCGGTCTATGTGGACGGTCTTACGTCCACGGCGTCGTTGATCATGGGGCTGCTCTAGCGGCTCGACGATGTAATTGAAGGTTGAAGTTTGCTTAACCTTACGGTAAGGGCCGTCATACTTGTACGTCAGTTTCGTTGAGAGACCAGGGCTGGTTGAAGGGATGCGAAGTCAGACAAGAT